CCAAATTGCTCAGTATCTTGGAAGATGAAGCTTGGGAGGTTAGGGATTGGGCTAACTGAGGGTGACCTCAATCTAACTGAAGCTGCAGCTCAGCTCCTGCTCAGTTCAACTTGCAGGGGATTCTGAAGGGTAAGTTCCTCACCCTAATCACCTAGAAGGAAAGGCATGCACTCTCTAAACAGACACAAATTACATTTTACTCTCCACTGTTCCTTTATACACAATACACATTTTTCAAAATTTTAAGAGGTGAAGAGGGGAGAATTTGGACTCATTATCAAGAGTAAGCAGTCAAAAGACAAGAGATTTGTAGATTGCCAGCAGACAAGAATGTTTTTTTTTTCTAAAGCTAAAGTGTGTTTGGTTTACAGGAAAGAATGGATGTAATGGGCAAAAAGATGTGAAATTTCCAAACCAAATGGATATTCTAGGACTGATAAACATATCAGAAAATTTTAAATGACTGGATAGTATTTGGGGTGGGGGTCAGTCCCTGGCATGGGGTATCAGAGAGTGGGGCAGAAAACACAAAGAGGAATGATATGGCATGGGCTAAGGAGGGCTCCATACTAGAGAAAGGGAAGAGATGATAATGCGAGATTGATTACATAAGGAGGAATTTATCAGATATGAAAATATATTTAAGATAATGGGAGCAGACCCTTCTGGCAAAACAAATATCAAGATGGCAGATTTAAAATTAACCTTGATAATTATATTGAAGGTATATAGACTAATGACATCAATTAAAAGTAAGAGACTGTTAAATTACATCAGTTTCTCAACCTCAACACTATTGACATTTTGGACCACATAATTCTTTGTTGCAGGAAGCTTTCCTGTGTCTTGCAGGATGTTTAGCAGCATCCATGGCTTCTACTCACTAGATATCAGTAACACCATTCTTTCCCCTTCAATTATGACAACCAAAATTTTCTCCAGATACTTCCAAATGTGTCTTGAAGGGCAAAATCACCCCTGATTGAGAACCACTTGACTTGATGAAAACCAAGATCCAACAATATGGAAATATGTATTAAATATAAAGACACTAATAGTTTTAAAGGAAAAAGGATGGAGAAAGGATGCAAGTATTAATTATAAGAAAGCTGATATGACTATATTAATATCAGATGATGCAGATTTGAAGACAAAGGGTACTTCCAGAAAAAGAGATATTTCATAATGATAAAAAGCTCTACCTCTCAGACTTAAATGTGCATGCACCTAATAACAGCTGTACAATACATGAAGCATGAATTCACAGAAACAAAATAAACAGACAAATCTGTAGTCATATTTAGAGATTGAAACACTGCTCTTTTAGTAGTTGCTGAAATAACTAGGTGAAAATCAGTAAGGTTACACAACATGTGAACTTTTTTCACCAATCTGACCTAACTAATACTTTTAGAATATTACATGTTCTTTTCAAGTGCACCTGGAACGTTCACCAAGATAGACCATATGCCGGGCGAAAAACACAAGTCTCATTAAATTACAAATGACCGCAATCAGATAAGGCATTTTCTATGAAAACAGAAATAAATTAAAAAATCAACAATGAAAAGGTATCTACAAAAAACCCCAAATATTTTA